TCTGACCACGCCCTCCCGCACCCAGAGGCCGGGGGCGCAGGGCCCTGCTCCCGTCAGCTCCGTCAGCCTCTGACTCCCTGGGGCCAGGCCCCTCCCAAATCAAATCTGCGCTCGAGCCTTGGGCCCCCAGGGAAATGGCCTGGATCCAAGAGGTTTGCAGCCGTCCTGGGGACGTCCCGGGACGGACACCAGGAGGGCCCTGTGCTGAAGCCACTGGCCCATCCCCCCGAGGGCCGCGCAGCCCCCGCCTGGGCCTTACCCCACTGCTCTCGGGTGACCAGCCGCTTTTGGATCCGTGCCGTCTTGAGCAGCGCAGGTGACACGTCAGGCCTTCACCAACAGAGACACGGAGATGGCACCATGCGGCTGAGCCTCACCGCAGGCCTGAGCCTCGTCCCAGGGCACCAACACCCCCAGGTGCCCGGCAGAAGGCGGACCTGCCTGCTCCAGGGGCCAGCTGTCGGGCTCTCTGCTCCCGCGGCACCTGCAGCCCACCTCATCCTCAGGCACGCCTCCCGGGAAACCCAGGGGCCTCCAGGCCCGCTCCCCTGGGTGCCAACCCCACCTGGACTCCCGCCTCTTGAGGCTCCGCATGCCTGCCCTGCGGCAGTGCTGTTCAGCCTGGCCCCCCCCCACCCCGGTCAAGATGCGGGCAGCGGGGAGTCGCACGTGGCGTGCTGACAGACCGGCCCTCCCCCCAAGTCTCCCAACCAGCGCTTGCCAATTTCTGCAGTGTAAATGCCTCCGCTGAGCCGATTTCTAGTGGCGGCCGTGCCAAGTGGCCGAGGCCTTAACCACCAGCTCGCCTGAGCCAGTACCAGCTGGTGCTGGTGTACCGCTGTGTGTGCAAGTGTGTGCATATGCACATCCATGTGTGCACGCATGCCCGTGCTGTACTGTGTGCACACAAGTGTGTGTGTGTGTGCACAGGCCTGTGTGTGCCTGTGCACGCAGGAGCATGTGCGTTGCATGTGTGCGTATGTGTGTGCACACAAGTGTGTGTGTGTGTGCACAGGCCTGTGTGTGCCTGTGTATGCAGGAGCATGTGCACTGCATGTGTGCATATGTGTATATGCACACATGTGTACTGCAAGGCGTGTACTGTTACTGGTGTGCATGCATGTGCTATCTGAATGTGTATATGTGTGTGCCTTGCACACACATGGAGTGTTGTGTGTGCACACAACCACACATATGCATGTATGTAGTGTGTGCACACATATGGATGCATGTACACAAGAGCATGTGTGTCTGTGCGTGTATCCATGAGCACGCGTGTACGCAGGTGCATGGGTACGCAGCGCTCCCGACCTGGCTCTGCTGATGTCCGTGTCATTCGGGGGGCGTCTCCTCCCACCTCTGCTCCCCACACGCCAGCCCCGGCAGGCACACTGTTTGACGTCCCCTGGACTCTCCCACACCTTTGTCTGCACGGTGCCTCTGGTCTTCCGTGTCCCGCTGGTCTCTCAGAAGCAGGCTGATCAGTGGCCACGCCCTGGCCCCTGCCCCCCGCCCACTCGGTCCTTTCCTCTCTGCGTCTCGCCACGTGGACTGCAAACTGGCACACCCACGCCTGGCCACACCCACCGGGACCACCCCTGCTGGGCGGACGCAGGACGTACACACTGCCCTTCCTGCCCGGCTCGCCGTGGGGGCACCCGAAGTACTCGAACTCCAGAGAGAAGGGGGTCTGGATCGGGGAGCGGTTGGTCAGGATGAACCGGCGGCTCGCGCGGGTCCTCAGGGGCACGGCTGAGCCGAAGTCCAGGCGCAGCTGCTCCGGGTCGCCCGGCCACTGCTGTGTGCTGAAAACCCTGCCCGTGCCACGGGCACCGGCCACTCTTGGTCCTCCGAGAGCCGCCGTGGGTGGGGACGCGGGAGCTCCCCGGAACCCCAGCTTGCGGCCCGGGACCCCCTCGCCAGTCCTCCCCGCCCCCACGGCAGGCAGCGGCAGGTGGGCCTCGCCTGGGCCCCACAGCTCTGTCTGCTGCCTTATCCCGCCTGCCGCCTTTTCCCGCCTGCCACACACCACGCGCCCCCCACAGGGTGGCGGGGCCCCCAGTGCCATCGGGGCCTTTTCCCAGGCGCAGGAATCGGCCACAGTGGACGCCCGCCCCGGCCCCGCCCTGGCCCCACCCCTGCCCCGCCCCGGCCCCGCCCCGGCTCACCTGCTGCCTTCAGAGTCCTCCGTGGAGACGGCCATGGTCACCTGCAAGCCCTGGGGTTTCCCAGAGATGCCGAGGACCAGTGGCTTCCTCATGCCGGCCACGTAGCAGGGGAGGGCCAGCCGGGTCAGCTCCTCCTGCGGCGAAGCCCCCGGGCTCAGAGCCGCACTGAGGCCTCTGCACAGGACCGGCGGCCCGCGGCCAGGCAGACCCCCGACAGCCTCGGGAGCAGCTGCACACCCACTCCGCCGAGGCTGCCCAGGGAGACGACGCCCCTCCGCACGCCAGGCTGCCCCGTGCCGGCCTGCCCAGCTGCGTTAGGAAACCCGCCGCCTCTTCCCGCGAGAGGCACACAGGCGGCAGCGGCGGCCCCACGCGGCCCCCTCACCTGGGTCTGAGTAGTCAGCTCCAACCTGAGCTGGCGCTCCTCTCGGGGGCCCAGCAGGCCGCCTCGGGGGCAGACTTCTGCCGAGCAGAACTCAGCCTGCTGCCCCAGGAGCTGGCGGGGGGGGGGGGGGGCTGTGGTCACCGGCTGGGCTCCCAGAAGAGACCGGGGCGCCGCCAGAGGGTGCACAGGTGCACAGGTGCACCCTCTGCCGGACTGACAGGGCCGGGCACCGACTGCTGGGCAGAGACTCCCCACTTGCCAGGCCCGCACAAGCTGCCCGGGGGACCCGAGTGACCGAGGCAGAGGGCTGAGCCCGCCCGGGCGCCTTCCCTGTGGGAAAGTTGGAGCTTTCCGGGGGCGGGGCTGGGGCGGGAGGGATCTGGCCCAGCTTGGGCCCTGGGAGGGTGACGCGCCCTGCACGTGCTGTGGCCGGGCCCTCACCTTGCCCCAGTGGTAGCGCGTGGGCAGGAGCGTGCCATTGACGAGGGTGACGGCGGCCCTGGCGGGCACCCCCCGGAACAGGCTGCTGAACTCCAGCTGGCTGCTCCGCAGGTACACGTGGGGCCCCTGCACCTCGGCGTACACGGGGAGGTAGCTGGCACGGAGGAAAGCCAAGGCGTCCAGGTCGGGGAGAGGGGGAGCGCGGTCGCGCCTGTGGAGCCTGCACCCCGGGACCGGCAGTTCACAGCCCTGCCAGCGCTGGGGAGGGCGCAAGGCCCACGCGGGGGAGCCACAGGGCTTTCCACGCTGACGGCAGACACGGCGGACAGGAGCTTCAAATGCCACTGACGACCGCTCAGAAATCGGAGTGCTGCGGTGGTGCCGCCGGGCGGCTGCCCTGCTCGCTGCCCGGTGCTGCCCGGTGCTCACTGCCCGGTGCTGCCCGGTGCTCACTGCCTGGTGCTCACTGCCCAGTGCACACTGCCCGGTGCTCACTGCCCAGTGCTACCTGGTGCTCGCTGCCCGGTGCTGCCTGGTGCTCACTGCCCAGTGCTCACTGCCCGGTGCTCACTGCCTGTGCTCACTGCCCAGTGCTCACTGCCCGGTGCTCGCTGCCCAGTGCTGCCCAGTGCTCACTGCCCGGTGCTGCCCGGTGCTGCCCGGTGCTCACTGTGCTCTTGGCTCACTCCTGACCCTGGCGAGTGTCTTTATCGCCACAGCCAGGGAAGTGTCCGGAGTCCGGTGGAGCTCCGGTGTTTACGATTTTAGTTTTATTTCAGAGAGAGATCGGCTTGATTTCCCATTGGCTGGTTCACTCCCCCAATGCCTGCAAGAGCTGGGGCCGAGCAGGCCAAGGCCAGGAGCCAGCAGCTCACAGCCAGGTCCCTCCCGTGGGTGGCAGCTCAAGAACTTGGGCGGCACCTGCTGCCTTCCGGGGTGCGTCCTGGACCTGGGGCCCGGGCGGGAAGTCCCATACAGGCTGCCGGCACCCCCGGTGATGCCACGGTGGCCATGCCTGCAGTAGCGACGTTCTTCTATTACTGTGTCCTGTCTCCGGAGGGTACCAGCCGGGAGCCCCAGTTCCTGGTCTGACTTTAGCCTGGCCCAGCTCCAGCTGTTGTGGGAATCTGGGAGTGAGCCAAATCTCTCTCTCCCTTCCTGCCTCCTTTTTTGTAATGAACAAGCCGTAAACACACTTGTACTTAGCAACAGAGCCTCAAAATGTGTGAAGCAAAACCCCATAGAACTGAGGGGAGAAATCTTCATTGTAGCGACCAAGTTTGAGGACTTCAATAGCCTGCACTTAACAACAAACAAGAGCAACGGAACAAAAGGTGGAAATTGAAACACAAGACTTAGGCAGCACGATAAACCGACCAGAAAAGAACAGACGTACGTATGATCTTCAAACAGTTAACAGAGAGCCAGTGCTGTGGCCTAGAGGGCTAAGCCTCCACCTGCAGTGCCGGCATCCCGTATGGGCGCCAGTTCAAGTCCCGGCTGCTCCACTTCCGATCCAGCTCTCTGCTGTGGCCCATCTTCTCTTCTATCACCCATCTGATGAGGCCGGGATGGTATCTGATGAGGCCGGGATGGTACCGGGGACCAGACAGAGACATCTCAGGAAGGAGACCATAGGAGCTGGTGCCGCGGCGCAGCGGGTAAAGCCGCCGCTTGCCCCACTTCCGATCCGGCTCCCTGCCACAGCCTGGGAAAACAGCAGAGAGTGGCCCAAGTGCCTGGGCCCCTGCACCCATGTTGGGGACCGGTAGAAGCTCCTGGTTTCGGCCTGGCCCAGCCCTGGCTGCTGCAGCCATTCGGGGAGTGAAGCAGAAGGAAAGGAAACCACAGATAATACCCCTCGTGAACACAGAGCAAAACCCTCAACAGAATTCCCGCAATCCAGACTGACCAAACGGGGCTTGTTACGGCTCAGCCGCCCCAAATCAACGCAAAACACCATGGCGGTAGAAAAAAGGACAAAAATGGCAGGATCGGGAACGATTCGGCAAAATCTGTGTCCTCTCAGTGAGCACGCAGTGGGCCGGCAGCCTCCTCGGAGCGGCGGGGAGCTCCCCCGGCCCCCAGGGCCGCTCCACTTCCAGGGGCGCAGGCGAGGCTGCCGCTTCTGCCACACGTACCCTAGTGTTGAGGTCACGAAGCAGGAAGAAGAAATACGAGCTACCGGAAAGCCACCTGTGTGTGTAGGAGGGATGCAGGGCCTCGGCGGGCCAGGCACCTGCCCAGAGCCCAGACACGCGTGTCGCTGGACGGCAGGACGCGAGTGCCGAGCCCACAGGGTGTCCGACAGGACGAAGCCCTAGGGAGAGTGACTTGGGGGTAGCCAAGGACAGGACTTCCAGGACCACGGGAAGAAAAGGAAGAGGCCTGACACTCGTGCAAAGATGCCCACGTCCCGGAAGGAAGGGCTGGATGTGGCCAGGGTGGCGACATCCCCAAGCCGGGCCGCGGTCTCCTGTCAGAAGCCAGCCGGCTGCTCAAACTCACAGGCTGGTTTAAACCTCGAAGGACCCAGAGCCGCGGAAGCAGCGTTGAGAACGAGAACAAAGCTGGAGAAATCACACTTCGCAAGTGCGAAGCCACAGCCACGGGCAGGGCGCCGCCAGGCCAAGGGCACGGGCTGCAGGCTCCTGGAATGAGCCTGGGGGTGACGGGCAGTTGGCTTCCCGCAGGATGCCGGGAGACCTCCAGGACGGCCCGGGACAGCTGCTTACGTGCCTGGCGAGGGACACAGCCGACCTCCGTTTCAGACCTCTGTAGCTGGCGTTCCACGGAAGGCACCCTCAGGAAGACACCACGTTGACCTGCCCGGAAGCCCAGGGGCCGGCCTTGGGCTGTGCTGGGTTAAGTCCCTGCACACCTCCCAGGTCCGAGTGCTGAAAGCCCAGGGGCCGGCCTTGGGCTGTGCTGGGTTAAGTCCCTGCACACCTCCCAGGTCCAAGTGCTGCAGCTCACACCTGCTACCTTGCTTCCAGTCCAGCTCCCGCTAACGCACCTGGGAAGGCAACGGAAGACGACCCAAGCGCTCGGGCCCCCGCACCCACGTGGGAGACCCGGATGGAGTTCCGGGCTCCTGCTGCAGCCCAGCCCAGCCACGGCTATTGCAGCCATTTGGGCAGTGAACTAGTGGACTGAACCTCAATCTCTTGGGGCCGGCACAGTGGTGTCGTAGCTTAGGTATTCGCTTGTGGTGTGAGAATCCCATATGGGCACTCATTCGAGTCCCGGCTGCCTGACTTCCAACCCTGCTCTCTGCTGTGGCCTGGGAAAGCAGTGGAAGATGGCCCAAGTCCCTGGGCCCCTGCACCCGGGTGGGAGACCCAGAGGAAGCTCCTGGCTCCTGGCTTCAGATCGGCACAGCTCCGGCCGTTGTGGCCATTTGGAGAGTGAACCAGCGGATGGAAGACCTCTGTCTCTCTCTCTCTCTCTCTCTCTCTCTCTCTGTAACTCTGCCTCTCAAGCAAAAAAATAAGTCTTTAAAAAAATCTCTAAGAAGAGACTGTTTATATGTATATAAAAAAAGAATCTCTCTCTCCGCTTGCCTCTCAGGTACTAAGTGAACGTTAAAAAAACAAGATGGACAGTCACAGCGGGTGAGGGGCAGCGCAGTGGGAGACGGAGTGGCCGGGGTGGCGGCTGCGAGGCCAGCACGGGCCATCATGGACGTTTACGGCGTGGCGTGAGAAGTCACACGGAGGCTGGCTGTGACTGGGCAGCCGCTGTGCCGCGGGACGGCAAACCCCCGCGGGCAGGCTGCTGGGCCAGGCCGCGCTGCTGCTGCCGGCTTGGAGCCGGCTTCCAAGGCGGGGCAACGTGGGGCAGCACGGGCTGCGTGGGGGCCGGAGAGGCCAGAGCAGAGCCGCGGTCCCCTCGGTCCTGCCCACCTGCAGCGTGCAGCTGGCCAGCCCTGCCGGTGTTGATGCGGTGCCGGCCCCGTGTGCACCACACATGGCACGCTCACCCTAGGCCCTTCTAGAAGTGGGGCGCCCCGGGGACCCAGGCCCGTTCGCTCGGACGAGACTCCCTCCTCCACTCGGAAACAGGAATGGGGCAGGTCTGGGCCGGGCAGGGAGCCTTGGGTGAGAGCACCCGCGTCCCACAGGGCGCACCTGGGCTCACCTCGCAGCTCCAGCTCCGACCCCAACCCCAGCCTCCTGCCAGCGCCCGCTGTGGGGGCGGGGTGATGGCTCAAGTGGCCAGGGCACTGAAGCCCGCGCAGGAGGCTAACAACTCGCCATCCTGAGACCCCTCCCCACTCTCCCTGACAGATGACTTTGTGTGCGGCTCTCTGAAGCCTGGGTGCAGACGCCCTGGCCATGAGGTAAGGTCCCATGAGGGATGCAGCATCTGGGAGACCCCCACCTCTGTGAGTGCAGTCACGTAGCTCAATGTGCAACGCCCGGTCTGAGCCGAGCCCCGGCGGCTTCCCTCCCCAAAGGGCGGCTTCCCTCTCCAAAGGCCGCGTGTGCGGGTGCTGGCTGCCGCCCCCGGTGCCACCCCGGGTGAACCTTCCTCTCTTTCCCCGAAGCCTCGGCGCCTGAGTCACTGGCTTCTCCTGTGACAGGCACCTCCCCTCTGGTTCCGTCACATTCCTGGCTGCAGGCTTCCGCCTGGCCCAGCCCTGGCTGTTGCGAGGCGTCTGGGGAGTGAACTGGCAGGTGACGCTCCGTCTGTCTGCCTCTCTGCTCTCAGACCAATAAACCTAAAAACGGCCAAAACCGGGCCAGTGGGGCTGGCGCAGGGGTTGGGGGCACTGCCGTGGGCTCCGACCATTATTGACGCTGGCGGCCGCCCCCGGGGGCTGTGAGCCGGGGTGGGGGTTGGGAGGAGACAAGGCACACTCCTGACACCGAAACCTCCAGTGCGCTCCGCCCAGACCGTCCACTGTGGCCGCTCCAGCGTGGGTGCGTGGGGAGCTGTACCCCGCTTCACCTCACTGTCTCCGACAGTGGGAGCTCGGGCTCCTCCAGACAGCCCCCACACCGCCAGCAGGGTGAGCCGCAGCCCGCGACGCCAGCGACCACGCGGGGCCACTCTAGCCCCGGCCGCTCCACTGCCCACCCAGCTCCCTGCTGACGCACTGGGAAAGCAGTGGAGGACGCCCCACGTGCTTGGGCCCCCGCACCCGCCTGGACCTGGCTCCCGGCTTCAGTCCGGCCCAGCCCAGACCAACGTGGCCGCTTGGGAGTGAACCGGCAGATGGAAAACCTCTCTGTCTCCCCCTCCCTAACTCTGCTTTTCAAATACATAAACAAACCTGAAGAAAACTGCCAGCGAATATCTGCAGGTCATGGATGATGGATCATGTTCCTTTTAGCCTGAACTCCAACTTGACAGACTCCATGATAAACCCAGACGAGCACATGGCCACACGCGGCGTGAGGCACACGCCGTGAGCCTGCAGTACCTCCCTGGCCACGTGTGACCCACGCGTGATGTGAGACACACGCCATGGGCGCCCAGGACGCCCCCAGCCACACATGACCCACACGTGACCCACACGTGACATGAGACACATGCTATGAGCACCCAGGATGCCCCCAGCCACATGTGACCCACACATGACATGGGGCACAGCCATGGGCACCCAGGACAGCCCTGGCCACACATAACCCACACATGACATGGGGCACAGCCATGGGCGCCCAGGACACCCCGGCCACACATGACCCACACGTGACATGGGGCACATGCCATGGGCGCTCAGGATACCCCCAGCCACATGTGACCCACACATGACCCACACGTGATGTGAGGCACACGCCATGAGCGCCCAGGACGCCCCCAGCCACATGTGACCCACACGTGATGTGAGGCACACGCCATGAGCGCCCAGGACACCCCCAGCCACACGTGACCCACACGTGATGTGAGGCACACGCCATGAGTGCCCAGGACACCCCCAGCCACACGTGACCCACACGTGATGTGAGGCACACGCCATGAGCGCCCAGGACACCCCCGGCCAACGTGACCCACACGTGACCCCCGTGTGACGTGGGGCCCAGGCCCCTCACCTCCAGGCCCCGTTCTGCACCTCGAGCTGCAGGACGGTCTCCAGGCGCTGGCAGTGCGTGGCCCTCAGGGTGACGGTCACCGTGCACTCCCCCAGAGGCTGCATCTGGCCGCTGCAGGGCTCGATTTGGAAGGGGGACACCTGGGGGTGCCACACAGGGGACAAGTGGGCGCGTGGCACTTGGGACAGAGGTCTCTGAGCTACCCCCAGCTCCTCACCACGCCACCTGGAACTCGGGGCGGGGAGCAGGTGCGGGGTGTGGCTGCCAGGAGGCTCCCAGCGCAGGGAGAGCCAAGCCCGAGGGCCCCTCTCCGGGGCAGCTGGGGAGAGCTGTGCGGGCAGGCGGGGCCGGGCCAGGAGGGGAGAAGCTGCCACGGAGCCACATTTGTCTCCTCGGCACCCCCATGTGGGCCTGGGCCCACCCCTCCCCTCCCCCACACCAGGCACACACAGCGCCCCCCCACAGCGCAGGGGCAATGGTCGGGCACCCCACTGACTGGCGGGGGTGTCGCTGGACACTGTTGGTACCAGCAGGAAGGGTGGGGACTGCATCTTTGGCCTCTCCCTTGCGTGTGCATGGGCTCCCTCGTGCACACAGCCTCCCAGGCAGCTCCGGGCGGGGGGACAGCTCCCAGTGACCACAGCCACGGGGCTGCCGGGCAGCTCCTGGCCGGCCCTGCGGCACAGACAGGGCTTTGTGCCACTTTGCCGTGCTCTGGACGGCACACCGTACTTAGGATGGGATGTGTGACAACTCAGATGCGATGATGACATCAGGATTACAGCAGGAAGAGAAATGCTATTTGAGTAAAAAAAAAAAAAATCTATCTTGAAGTCTCTGGGGTCTTTTTGAGTGGGCCACAGCTTGTGCGCAGGCGCCACCTGGTGGCAGGTACTGGAACTGCAGGCGAGTCGGAGGATCAGACCCTCCGTGGAGGGCCCCGGCTCGGCCCCCCTGCCCCTACCAGGGAGAGACCCACGGCCATGCCCGCGCCCTGTGGTAGGCAGCAGTGCAGACAGTGCCAGGGCGGGGTGAATTCTGCAGCCGAGGAAGCAGGCCTTGCGTCCCCCAGCGCCCGGGTGGCGGCGGCCCCGAGTCACCTGCGCCCGCCTCTCCTCCAGGCAGCCCGGGCTCTCCCGCAGGTGCCACAGGGCGGGCAGCTGGCTGACGTTCCGGATCCGGATGCCCTCGCAGGCCTCCTGGCCCAGACGCAGCAGCCCGAACTGCAGGGCCGGGACGCTGAGGACCAGGGCGGGCCCCTGAGACACGGAGGGGCTCGTCACGGGGCATCCGGGGGACGGACCGCCCTCCCGGGGGCCCCCGGCCACGGCACCTTGAAGGCTGCCTCGATGTGCAGTACCACCGGCGAGGGCGAGTGCTGGATCTCACACAGCAGGTCCTGGCTCGTGGGGCCCGGGACGCCCCCCGTGAAGCTCAGCTCAAAGTCCTCCGCCTCACTGGGCTCTGGCACAAGGGGACAAGGGATGGCGTGGAGGACGGAGGCGGGACGGGGTGGCCTCAGCTGGGCCCCTTCAGCCCAGAGGTCCCCTCCACCCCAGTCCCCAGGTACCAATGATCCCGGTGCAGGGCTCCACTTCAATGATGTGGCAGTCACAGATCTTGCCCCACGTGTATCTGATGGCCGACTTGCTGTTGTTCCACATCTGAAACACACACCCCACCCAGGCTGCCCGGGGCCTGCCCTTTCAGGTCAGACCCGCCCCGTGGGAGGACGGTGGGACCCTGGACCGCCTGACGCCCTCCCTCCTGACCTCCCAGCAGCACACCGCGGGCCTGGCGATCCTGGCCCACGGGAACTGTGGGAACGGCTCCACGCCGGCCGCAGCGGGCAGGCCTGGGGCCCGGGTTGCTGCCCCGCCCCCAGCCCGGCGTGCCCGACCTTGAAGTTCTTCTTCACGCTGGTGCCGATGTAGTTCTCGCCGGGGATGAGCAGGGCGTAGGGCTCCAGGAGGACCTGGAACGGCTGCGCCGAGCCCTTCACCTCCACCTCCAGCACGATGACGTCCTCCACGGGGCAGCTGCAGTCCCCCAGGCTCTCCACCTCCGAGCTGGGCACAGCGAGAGGCGGGGCCGGGCCGCCGCTGCCCCCACCTCAGGCCTCGGGAGGAGGACGGCCCCCCACGGCCCCCTACACCCCCTCCCCGCCTCTGCTCCCCCGCAGGCTCCACAGAGACCCACTCAGCGGTCACTGCCAGCCAGGGCCGCCAGTGAGCCCGGGGCGCGGCTCCCAGGGCCCCGGGGTGGGCAGGGTCCTCACAGCGAGAGCCCCTAGATGCTCCCGCAGCCCCCCCTCACCTCGTGGGCGCCGGGACTCCTTCCAGCACCATCTGGAGCACGCTGTGGAAGGCCCCCAGCTGGAAGCAGACGCAGCGTGCACTCAGCCCAGCTGGCCCCCCCCACCCCGGCCCAGCCCCCCCAGGACGGTGGCCCAGCCCCCCAGGACGGTCGCCCAGCCCCCAGAGCCCCCAGCTGGAAGCAGACCCAGCGCGCACTCAGCCCAGCCGCCCCCCCCCGGCCCGGCCCCCCAGGACAGTGGCCCAGCCCCCCAGGACGGTGGCCCAGCCCCCCAGGACAGTGGCCCAGCCCCCAGAGCCCCCAGCTGGAAGCAGACCCAGCACGCACTCAGCCCAGCTGGCCCCCCCCACCCCGGCCCGGCCCCCCAGGACGGTGGCCCAGCCCCCAGAGCCCCCAGCTGGAAGCAGACCCAGCGTGCACTCAGCCCAGCCGCCCCCCCCCCCGCCCCGGCCCAGCCCCAGAGCCCCCAGCTGGAAGCAGACCCAGCGTGCACTCAGCCCAGCCGCCCCCCCGCCCCGCCCCGGCCCAGCCCCCCAGGACGGTGGCCCAGCCCCCAGAGCCCCCAGCTGGAAGCAGACCCAGCATGCACTCAGCCCAGCCGCCCCCCCCCGCCCCGCCCCGGCCCCCCAGGACAGTGGCCCAGCCCCCCAGGACAGTGGCCCAGCCCCCCAGGACGGTGGCCCAGCCCCCAGAGCCCCCAGCTGGAAGCAGACCCAGCGTGCACTCAGCCCAGCCGGCCCCCAGGACGGTGGCCCAGCCCCCAGAGCCCCCAGCTGGAAGCAGACCCAGCGCGCACTCAGCCCAGCCGCCCCCCCCCGCCCCGGCCCAGCCCCCCAGGATGGTGGCCCAGCCCCCCAGGATGGTCGCCCAGCCCCCAGAGCCCCCAGCTGGAAGCAGACCCAGCGTGCACTCAGCCCAGCTGGCCCCCCCCCACCCCAGCCCAGCCCCCCAGGACGGTGGCCCAGCCCCCAGAGCCCCCAGCTGGAAGCAGACCCAGCGCGCACTCAGCCCAGCCGCCCCCCCCCGGCCCGGCCCCCCAGGACAGTGGCCCAGCCCCCCAGGACGGTGGCCCAGCCCCCCAGGACAGTGGCCCAGCCCCCAGAGCCCCCAGCTGGAAGCAGACCCAGCACGCACTCAGCCCAGCTGGCCCCCCCCACCCCGGCCCGGCCCCCCAGGACGGTGGCCCAGCCCCCAGAGCCCCCAGCTGGAAGCAGACCCAGCGTGCACTCAGCCCAGCCGCCCCCCCCCCGCCCCGGCCCAGCCCCCAGAGCCCCCAGCTGGAAGCAGACCCAGCGTGCACTCAGCCCAGCCGCCCCCCCGCCCCGCCCCGGCCCAGCCCCCCAGGACGGTGGCCCAGCCCCCAGAGCCCCCAGCTGGAAGCAGACCCAGCATGCACTCAGCCCAGCCGCCCCCCCCCCGCCCCGCCCCGGCCCCCCAGGACAGTGGCCCAGCCCCCCAGGACAGTGGCCCAGCCCCCCAGGACGGTGGCCCAGCCCCCAGAGCCCCCAGCTGGAAGCAGACCCAGCGTGCACTCAGCCCAGCCGGCCCCCAGGACGGTGGCCCAGCCCCAGAGCCCCCAGCTGGAAGCAGACCCAGCGCGCACTCAGCCCAGCCGCCCCCCCCCGCCCCGGCCCAGCCCCCCAGGATGGTGGCCCAGCCCCCCAGGATGGTCGCCCAGCCCCCAGAGCCCCCAGCTGGAAGCAGACCCAGCGTGCACTCAGCCCAGCTGGCCCCCCCCCACCCCAGCCCAGCCCCCCAGGACGGTGGCCCAGCCCCAGAGCCCCCAGCTGGAAGCAGACCCAGCGTGCACTCAGCCCAGCCGCCCCCCCCGCCCCGGCCCAGCCCCCCAGGACGGTGGCCCAGCCCCCGAGAGGCCCCAGCTGGAAGCAGACCCAGCGTGCACTCAGCCCAGCTGGCCCCCCCACCCTGGCCCAGCCCCCCAGGACGGTGGCCCAGCCCCCCAGGACGGTGGCCCAGCCCCCAGAGCTGTCCCACTACCTCTTCCCCACCCCAGCAAACGCAAGCTCGCAGGTGATGGCTCGAGTCGTTGGGGTCCTGCCACCCACGTGGGGGAGCTGCATTGAGCCTGTCCATTGCTGGCGTTAGGGGGTGACGTGGGTTTGGGGGGGAGTAGGGCTCTCTATCAGGCAGAGTAATAACAAGGAAAGAACACGGAGGGAGACTCAGGACAGCGGACCCCACCCCTAGCCGGCCCGCGTCCCACCTGCTGGGGAGAGAACTCCAAGATGAACTCGTGGTCCGTGTGGGGGCAGAGGGTGCCCCTCCGGGGCAGGATGGAGAACGCGGTCTCCCGGTCCGGGTGAGCCTTGATGCTGTCCGCGCTGTAGGCCTCTCCGGGCAGCAGGGGCTGCAGGTTGGGCTTCGTGACCTGCCAGTGGAAGGTCAGCTCCACGTGCCTGCGGGGACAGCCACACAGTGGGCAGCACGCCCGAGGCCGTGCCAGACCCTGCCAGGACCGTGCTCCCACCCACCCGTGCATGGCGCCCCCCCCGGGGGGGCCAGGCTGGGGGCAGCAGGTGGGTCAGAGTCCACTGGAGGAGGGGCCAGGATCCCACGTTGCCCGTGGGCGGCCATGGAGGGCAGGGACTGGCAGGCAAGGGGAGGGGGCGGAGTCCTGTGTCACGTCTCCCTCCGGGCACCAGGGCAGCCCTGGCCCGGACCTCGGTGGCACTCAGAGGCTGGCCGGGAACGGAGTGGCAGGGGTGACAGAACCCAGGGACCAGCGTGTGCCTGCCCCCGGGTGCCCTGTTCCCGTCTTGGGGTGCTCCAGGGCGACTGAGAGCAGCGCTGTCCGCGGCTGCCTGCGAGGACGGAACTGCTTTTGCTGTCACCACGCAGGCGACAGCCGCTGGCTCCGGCCGGCACCGAGGCCCCGGATGTGGTGAGCGCCACCAGGAAGTGTGGCTGTCATGTGAATCTCGGCTGTTTTGTGCTGTTTTTTCCCCACGGCGGGCGGCAGACACCTGGACCATTCCGCCCGATCTGCGCCCCTGGGCCGGTGCGGGCCCCTGCCTGGCTCCCGTCTCGGTGGGCACGCAGGCCGGGCGGGGCACGCCAGCCTCGCTCACGTGGCGTTCCTGATGAGGAGCTGTCTGCTGGCCGTGGCCTGGAGGTTCTCGGGCTCGAACCGTATGAAGTGCTGGGCCGTCAGGTCCGTGAGCTCCCCGGGGCCCGGCTCACTTTTCTCGCCGGAGACGTAGATCAGATCCAAGGCCACCAGCTGCCCGACGCCTGGCCGGGGAGGCAGGGGTGCTGGTGATGCCCTCGGGACTGTGGCCAGGACCTGTGGCCACAGGCTGCCGCGGGGCCCGGGCCACCGCCCACGTGCCGCTGGCCATGGCTGACACCCACAGGTGCACACACGAGGGGCGACAGGGCCATCTTCACGCATTCCCCCAGGACCAAAAGCAGGCGATTCTGAGAGCCAAGACCACGGTAGGCACTCGAGTGACAGTGGACAGATGGACGGATGGACAGATGGACGGAGGGAGCGGGGCACTGTGGGGCAACTCAGCGGGAGTTCCCTTCCCGTGGAGACCCAGGGCCTCCGTGCGGGCAACTCCCGGAGGAGGGAGCTTCCAAGGGAAGCCAGAAAGGCCCCCCAGGTCTGTGTCGGAGACCCCACGTCTGACCAGGGGGAGGGCCCCAAGCTGCAGCTCCCTGGCACACGGGCGGGGCGGGGGACGCCCACCTACGGTCACCAGCTCCCTCAGCTGGCAGTTGTCACACACGATGACAAAGGCCTGCTCGGCCTTGCCCAGGCTTGTGGGGAGGAACAGGACCTGCGGGAGACGAGGGCGCCCCGTCAGCTGCACCCACTCCTGGCTCCCTCTTCTCAGCTTCACTCCCTCCCCTTCGCTCTCTGTGCTGTGCTCCCCACCCGACACCCAAGGCCGGCGGGGGGGCCTTCGGGCGAGGCTCCCTCCCAGCACGATGCAGGGAGCGCACTGCCCGAAGTGGGGGGGGGGGTGCGGTGCAGGGGTAGCGGTGCAGGGGTGGGGCATGCGGTGCAGGGGTGGGGTGTGCGGTGCAGGGGTAGGGCCCACGGTGCAGGGGTGGGGTGCTGCTCGGGTGCCCACATCCCGCAGAAGAGTGCGGCTGCTGTGCCTGCAAGCCGGCTCCCTGCCGGGCTCCTGGAGGCAGCCGCAGGTGCAGGTGGAGCTCCCGCTTGCTCCCTCTTGGGCTGTGCACTTTTTTGTCCGTGTAATCCCCTTTGTCGGTTTTTACTTCTCGTTGCCAATATTTCTGGGCCATTTCCAGAGAAAACCATCGCCCACGCTAATTCTGCCCTGACTCCTCTCTCACGTGGAGACAAGAACCCGGACCAAGCCTGGCCGGGGCCACCGCGTGTAGGACAGGGTGCAGGCCGGGGCCCGCGTGCCTCACAGCCAGCGCCAGTCCTGGCAGGCCGCGGTGACATGACCCGGAGGACAGAGAGCCCGGTCTGCACTGGGCCCTGCAGACCCGGCCAGCACCAGCGGCGGACGGCAGGGCCCCGCCGTCTCTCCCGAGCTGGCCGTGTCGCCCCACGCGACCCAGCTCTTGGCAGGGATCAGCTCAGCACAGACGTGAGCCGGAGAGCCAGGCTCAGCCCTGACCAGGCCGCTCCAGAGCCACACGGCTCAGGCCGCAGAACCTGGAAAGCCGCGAACCAAACGCAGCCGTGCTGTGTGCCGGCCGTGCCGGCGGCACTGTTGGCAGCGTCTCCAGATCTCGCCGCTCATCAGCACCTCCTGGGCGGCCGTCCAAGGGCTGTGCCCGGGGGACCCGGGACCTCACGTGGCAGCACTCCCCTGTCTCTGGCGCTTGTGGGGGCATGGCTGAGTGTTAAGAACCAAGGGCGCTCGGCTCCCCTGCCTGATGACAGGCTGCACCCGACAGGACGCATCGCCACCTCTCACGGGGGTTCCCGGGGCCTGTGAGCAGTGGGACGAGCAGAAGGGAGCCCTGGCCGGGCCCACAGCTGGAGGTCCTGCACCGGGAGCTTTGCAGGGGCCTGGTGAGGCCTGGCGCATGAGGCTTGCGGAGTGCATGAAGAGGAGGCCGGAGCAAAGCCACTGTCATCACCGCGGCCCCCGACGGTGGGCGGGAGAACCCGAGACAGAAGCAAAGAGCAAGCAAGGGTGGGTGGGAGAACCCGAGACAGGCCAGGGCTGCGAGCCGCCCCAGGGACCTCTGAGGCCTCCCCCTGCCGCGGTCACACAGCGGCTGGGCAAACGGCCATGGCCGACGGCCAGGAGGAGGGGTCCATGCCCACGGGCGGCACCCACCTCCAGCACCGTGACGGCGCCCGGGGCCAGCTCGAACACGGAAGGCAGGATTCCAAATGGCGGCTGCTCCACGAAGCCGGGGGCCGAAACTGCCTGCAAGACACGCGGGGGGCGTGGCAGGGCCGCTCCCTCCTCTGGACACGCCCCTGTGACTGGGCGGAGCTTCGGGGCTGTCCATTCTCCAGGGAAACGAGGGAGCCACTTCCCCAGGCACACAGGCCTTGCCCTGCTGCAGAGACCCACATCCGTCCAGGCCCCCGCCCTGCACTTGCCGGGGCGCCTGCGAAGCCAGCCACTCAGCACGCCAGGGACACGGCCCCGCCCACAAGCCCCCACCCCCACCCCCCGGTAAGGAACGGAGCTTCCAGCGGGGTCTCCCTGGGCACAGAGAGCGGTGGCCACTACAAGGACCGGTGGGGTCAAGGCCAGGCCGCCTGGGGCGTGGGCACAGGGGAATCCTGGCCCAGGGCTGCACACTCCCCGTGTTTGCAGAGACCAGGAAAGCCCAGTTTGTAGGGACATGATGTCCATTAAGTAGAGGTCACACAGGTAGACAGAGGCCACTGGAACGCAGGCAGAGCTGCTGGCCGGCGGCCTGCGATGCCGACAGGCGTGGGCTCCACTAGGCGGGCAGTCCCCTCTGGAGCAGGCCCTCGGGGGGCCGCGGCCTCTGCGGGGGCCCCTGGGGGCAGCCCTTCCGGGCAGCAAGCCCGGCTCGCTCACCCTGAAGCTGGTGGGCGGCCAGCTCTTCCTGGGCACGATGCAGAACCTGCCCGCGCTGAAGCCCACATTCCTGCAGGTGAACTTGGTCATCTTCACTCCCCCGACGAGGCAGTAGCCACAGTCCAACACCGGCGACACTGCGGCGCGGGGAGCGCAGCTCAGGAGGGGAGCGCGCCACGCTGCTCCGGGGCTGTCCCGAGGCCCCGCGGAGAGGGTGAGCCAGGCCGTGCCCTGGCCAGGCCGCTCCGGAGCCACACGGCCTCCTCCCGGCGGTGGGTGGGCCCCCAGCCGGAACCCAGACACACGGCCCCCGGGAGCCGCCTGCGAGGACCCGCAGGGCCAGCAGCCAGCGGTGCCAGCAGGGGCTCCGCGGCAGCCTCGGGGTCGCACACTCACGCGTCAGCACCGGGGGCGGCCTCCGGGCTTGCAGCGGGATCAGGAGGGTGTGGGCCGACTGGGTCTCCACCAGGATGAAGTCGTCGAAGTCTCCGAGGCAGTCGGGCATGAACTGGACGGTGTACTGGCAGGTCATCCCGGGGGCCACCATGCCGCCTTCTCCCGGGAACATCCCTGGGCATGCGCAGAGGCGAGAGGAGGGGCTGGGGCGGGACCACCGCGAGTGCCGGGGTGGGGGTGGGGGTGCTGGCAGGGAGGCAGGGCCCAGTGGGGTGACCTGATCTTAGCGGTTCCTGGGACACGCCCGGGGATTGAAGTGGGTAGCCAGGGAGGTGAGCAGGGGCAGGGAGCTGTCCAGGCGCTGGGACCTCGCTGAGGGCGGGGCCCTGACTGCCCAGGGAACCCTGGACGGGACGGTCAGCCAGGGCAGAGGTCAGGCCCCGCGCCGGGAGGCAGCCTAGGTAACTGGTATACCCAACTCACCCAATCCCAGGGCGAAGTACGGGGTGGAAGGCGGGAGCACCCGCAGGTAGCGGCTGGCGGCCGTGGTGTTCTGCAGCGCCAGGACCATCTGCTCAAAGACAAAGGTGACGGTTGGAGGGGGCGGGCGGGCGAGGAGGGGAGCTCAGCCTCGGAGCTGGGGCTCGTCGTCCTGCTCCACCTGCTTCTGTCCACTTGGGAAGTTTCCAAAGTATGAAAGAGAGAGAGCGAGAGGGAAGGCAGGAGTGGAGCTGCCCCTCTCGGGGCAGGCCACGTGGCACCGCTGGTGAAGACACTGCTTGCGACGCCGGCATCCCGTGTCAGGGCGCTGGTTCAAGTCCTGGCTGCTCCGCTTCCCATCCAAGTCCCTGGGAAGGCAGTGGAGGATGGCCCGAGTGCTTGGGCCCTGCACCCACAAGGGACACCTGGATGGGCGTTCCGGGCTCCTGACTTCAGCCTGGCCCAGCCCTGGCTGCTGCAGGCATTTGGGGATGGACGGCCTCTCCGGCACTCTGCCTTCCAAACAAGTAAACTAGGCTTTATGCGTAAAAATCTCAACCACCGCACACGGGGCATCTCCCTGGGCCCCCTGACGTCACAGCCACCAGGGCAGGAGCTGGGCCACAGCGGAAGCGGGAGTGCCTGAGCTGCAGAGCCCGCCTCCCTTCTCCCCCGCGGTTATCCCATCGGGCTGCTTCTTCCCAAGGCGCAGGCAGAGGGTGTTACGGCACCTGTGTGACAGCCAGGGTTGGACCAGGCCCCGACCCACCCCCACCCCCACCCCATCCACGTAAGCCCCCACCTCCTCTTCCCCCTGCCCCGGCTTAGGAGACCTTTAAGAACAAGACCTAACGCTAAACCCCGACGGCACCCAGCACAAAACGTAGCCCAGAAGAACTCAGCCCGTGCACGTGGCTTTGCTGGTGTCTTGTAAAAAATTATGCTGGGAAAAGAAAAAAAAGTGTCACACACAGTGTGATGAAGGCCACGCCCCAGCTCAGGGCACCGCACGCGCAGCTGAAGTCCCCACCCCTCAGCATCACTCCCATCGTCCACACCCAGGCCATCGTCCACACGCAGGCCCATCGTCCACACCCAGGCCCATCATCGGCGAGCACCACAGGGTGCACCTGTGGGCCAGGCAGGATCAGCGAGACCCACATCACGATTTGGCTTCCGTTTCTCTGTTGATAAGGGTGCAGGGTACATTTTTATGTGTTTGCCACTTGGGTTTCTTGTTCTGTGAGTTGGTTGTTCTGTTTTACCATTTGCCACTGTGCAGTCTTTTACGTATTCTGGATCTAATTTTTTACAAGTATGCAAAGGGGCCGGCGCTGTGGCATAGTGGGAGGAGCCACTGCCTGCAGTGCCGGCATCCCTGTGGGCACTGGTTTGAATTTCGGCTGCTCCACTTCTGATCCAGTTCTCTGCTGTGGCCTGGGAAAGCAGTGGAAGATGCCCAAGTCCTCGGGCCCCTGCAGCTTCATGGGAGACCTGGAGGAAGCTCCTGGGTTCGGATCAGCTCAGGCCGTTGCAGCCATCTGGGGAGTGAACCAGTGGATGGAGGTCCTCTCTCTCTCTCTCTCTGCCTCACTCTGCCTTTCAAATGAAATAGTTTTTTTTTTAAAGATACACATAATAAAATGTCTCCAGGACCTTGCATTTGTATTATCTTTTTTAAAGATTCATTTATATGAAAGGCAGAGTGATGGAGACAGACAAAGGAGCTCTCCCACCCACTGGTTACTCCCTAAATGCCAGCAGCAGCCAGGGCTGGGCCAGGCAGACGCTGGGGGCCTGGAGCTCCCTCCACCCGGGTCTCCCGTAGGGTGTCAGGGCCCAAGGACTTTGGCCCTCATCCTCTGCCTGCCCAGGTCCGATAGCAGGGAGCTGGCCCACCCAGTGCTCCTCTGGGCAGTATGGATGTTCCCAGCCTGCCCCTGGAATTATCTTTTGATGCACAGTTTCTAAAATTTTAATACAAAATGGATCAACCTTTTCAGGTTTGTGCTTCAGTCTTTTTTTTTTGACAGGCAGAGTGGATAGTGAGAGAGAGAGAGAGAAAGGTCTTCCTTTGCCGTTGGTTCACCCTCCAATGGCCGCTGCGGCCGGTGCATCACGCTGATCCGAAGGCAGGAGCCAGGTGCTTCTCCTGGTCTCCCATGGGGTGCAGGGCCCAAGCACCTGGGCCATCCTCCACTGCACTCCCGGGCCACAGCAGAGAGCTGGCCTGGAAGGGGGGGCAACCAGGACAGAACCTGGGGTGCTGGCGCCGCAGGTGGAGGATTAGCCTAGCGAGCCGCGGCGCTGGGCGCTGGCCTGTGCTTCAGTCTTAAGAAAGCTTTGCATAACTCTTTTCTCCCCTAAAAGTGCTGCTCTTTTCCTTGATGTATTTTGTCTGGTGAATGGAGCGAGGTAGGGAGACAAGCATTTTGCACGTGGCAAAGATACTAAACACAGCTTTGTGTCTTGAGGCGCGCAGGTGCCTGGGCCTGGCCGTGTGCCGTGGAGCGAGCCGACAGCCCTGCTGTCCTCGCCGTCGTGGCAGCAGCTGCATCTCACGCTGGCTGAAGCAGGTCCAGAGAGCCTCGCCCCCAGCCACTCGCGAGGCAAACCTCGGAACAATAAGACAGGTAGTTTCTCTGTCCCACAAGACGTTCAGCTGCGCCCCCTGGCGGCCAGCTTGGTAATGCACCGTCAGCCCCGCTCGCTCTCCTTCCACGCCCTCCCTCCTCGCGGAGCTGCCAAGGATGGCACATGATGTCAGCATGTCAGCCTGTGCTCCTGGGGCGTCGGTCCCACAAGGGCCCCGCACAGCGGCTCCTCGGGACGTGGTTCTGGGCTTGCTCCCCAGGTGGTGTGTAAGAACCCTAGCTAGGGGCCGGCATAGTGCGCAGCAGGTTAAGATTCCCACGTGGGCGCCGGTTCCAGTCCCGGCTGCTCCACTTCCCATCCAGCCCCTGCTAACGCACCTGGGAAAGCAGCAGCAGAGGGCCCAAGTGCTCGGGGCCCTGCACCCACGTGGGAGACCCGGAAGCGGCTCCTGGCTTCAGCCTGGCCCACCCTGGCCAATGCAGCCATCTGGGGAGTGACCCAGCAGATGGCAGGCCTCTCTCCCTCTCTGTAACTCTGCATTTCAAATAAAAATAAAATACACACAAATCTTTACGGTGGGCAGTAGGGGACTGTGGTACGGTCACAGCTACTAAGGCTTTTGCCAGTGGTCAACCAGAATGAGATGTAGGTGGAGGGCGGGGCGGGGCAGTGGTCACGGGGAGGGCGGGGCGGGGCTGGTTTCCCCACCAGCGCTGCAGGCCTGCAGGAGAAAATGACAGGCTGAGAGGCCAGTGCCAGCTGGCGCCGGGGCAGGACACGCCTCGAGTTCCTGGGCCACACGTGGGTGCTCCCGAGTGTCGGTGGGTGTCTGTCTTACTTTCTGGCCGCTGAGTTTAACCTAGCATTTCTGCGCCTGTGTTAAGACCAGCTTATGTTTTCGATTTGGTGTCAAAGTGATACTAGGCCTCTCTCCTACCGGGAGGGTAGGTGCTTCCTCCTTCCAGAGTCTGAAACATTGTATCTATAAAACAGGGCTTGGCTTGATGCTGAGCAGACCCTGCACCATCTGGGCCTCCTTTGCTCTGGGTGCCAAGTTTTGCTTGTTTTTAAAAAAGTTATTTTCATCCAAGCTGGACAGTCACATGGTGTGCAGAGCCAGAGAATGACCAAGGCTGAGAAAACAGAGACGCTGGCCGCCCGCCTGCTCCACCCTGCCTTTCTCATTCTCCAAGGGCAAACGGTTTCCCCTTTGCGCTGATCAGGCGGCGCTTACTGCTCCGCCTCCCAGCAGTGCGCCTGCCTGCTTTTTGGCTGCAGGCACTGCCTTCCCAGCCCACAAGCGAGCCCCAGGCCACCCCGCCCTCCCTGTCTGCCCAGCGCAGCTCCAGAGCTGGCCAGGTGCACAGGGAATCGCGGGCCAGTGGAGGCGCACTCACAGCGGGGGGTGGGGGGGAGGGGAAGCAGGTACCTTTCCCTCCCTCGTGTGGTCTTTCCCTTGCTGGAGTTAATCAGTCATGTAGTTTGCTACAGACTTAGCAATAATCCGATCCCTCTCCATTACCCTACAAGTCTCTTCCCAACACGTCCAGGACTCTTACCCAAATGTCATCTCCTTAAATAGAGCTCCGGGAGCCTCCTGACGTCTGACCTGGGCTGGTCGCGGCTGCGCCTGCTGCCAAGCGGCCGTGCAGACTCCCCGGCACAGCTTCACCACTCGCCCACAGCCTCTCCGATCACAGGACCAGGGCGTCAAGGCCGGCACAGCCCACGGCGTGCCTTGGAGCGGTGCTGTGTTGCTTCCTAGGGAGGTTGTGGGAGTGGGGCTCCTCCACCTCGCTGGCTTCCTAGGGAGGTCGTGGGAGTGGTGCACCTCCATCTGGCTGGCTTCCTAGGGAGGTCATGGGAAGTGATGCACCTCTATCTGGCTGGCTTACAGCCGTGGCTCCTCACTCTGAGCCATCTCGTCAAGAGTTGGGCCACCCTCTAGGCTGCCACACTGTGAGGAAGCCCAGGCTACACAGAGCCGCTACGTGGAGCCGGCATCGACTGTCAGGCGGGGGGAGAAGCCTCGGAGAAACCCAGCCCGTCTTGAGGTCACGCCCAAGCCCCGATTCTCTCTAGCTGTGCCCTCTGAATCTCTGACCCACAGCAGCTGTCAGGACGGATGGTTCCTTCAGAGTGCTCAACCTGAGGCAGCGTCGTGGCGCAACAGGTTAAGCCGCCGCCTGCGACACCGGCATCCCGTAGGAGTACCCGTTCAAGTCCCAGCTGCTCCACTTCCGATCCAGCTGTCTGCTAATGTGCCTGAGAAAGCAGCAGAAGATGCTGAGCCGGGTTCCCTGTCCCTCACTCTGTTTGTTTATTTCAAAGAGTAACAAATAGGAGAGAGAGAGGTCTTCCATCCACTGGTTCACTTCCTCGACGGTCACAGTGGCTGAAGCCAGGAGCCAGGGGCTTCTTCTGGGTCTCCCACGTGGGTGCAGGGAACCAAGGACCTGGGCCATCTTCCACTGCTTTCCCAGGTCATAGCAGAGAGAGGGAGAGAGGGAGAGAGAAAGTCTTCCATCTGCTGGTTCACTCCCCAATTGGCTGCAATGGCTGCAGCTGGGCCAGTCTGAAGTCAGGAGCCAGGAGCTTCCTCCAGGTCTCCCATGCGGTGCATGGGCCCAAGGACCTGGGCCATCTTCTACTGCTTTCCCAGGCCACAGCAGAGAGCTGGACCGGAAGTGGAGCAGCCGGGACAGGAACAGGTGCCCACATGGGCTGCCAGTGTCATGGGCAGTGGCCTTACCTGCTACACTACAACACTGGCCCCTCATCTTCACTTTGAAGAGATTTCTAGTTGTATTTAGGGTTCCAGATTTTAAACTTTGAAGTTTCTTTCTAAAATTCGTTAGCTTCTATCTTCTCTGTTGGATTCTTTTAACTCTACATACTTTTTCTTTTTCTTTGGTTGACAGCAGGATTTCACTATCACGTGCCCAGGTTTGGTTTGGTTTTCTTGCGTTCTGCTTAGGGTGGTTCACGCGTCACTCGGCGGCTTGAAGTCTTCCTTCCCTGGGGTCACCGTCATCCGTCGCCCCGTCAGATGCGGTTGCCGCCCGAGCGCTGTCCCCTCTCTGTGGGGACACCTTCGCCAGTCCCATTTTTGCTCTGCTCTGTGCCGTCACTTTGTCTGTCTTTGTTCTTCAGCCTGGACAATTTCCACTGACCGACCGCCCTCCTCCTCTCCACCTCCAAACGACGTGCAGATTTTCCACTGAGACTAACTTCAGTTCTAGAACTTGCATTTTTTGCAAAGTGCCATTCCTGGAAGTCTCCCATACACATATACGTCAATACTTTGAGATAATCCCAGACTTGCAGGTGTTGTAAAAATCATCTACAGAGTCCGTTATCCCCTTCACTCGCTTCCCTCCACGTGGAAATTTTACTCAGGTCCTGGCACCGCGCCAGGCAATCAGCCTCCCGTCGGAGCCCCAGTTCAAGACCCCGCTGCTCCCTGCCGGTCCAGCTCCTCATTGGCGCAGCGGAAGACGGCCCAAGGACCTGCCCCCCGCCACCCACACGGGAGCACCAGCCAAGGTTCCCGGTTCCTGACTTCTGCCTGGCCCAGCCGCGGCTGTTATGGCCATCTGGGGAGTGGACCGACACACAGAAGAGTGCTCTCTCTCTCCCTGCCGTTCAGATAGGAAAATCAATGAGTCATCTTTAAACTTCTCACATAACCCAAGAACGACGGTCGGAGCGGAGACGTCCGGCTCGGTCAGTGCTGCGTTGGCCAGAGCACAGCACTGACTTCTTTTCCCAGGGTTCCCCCTGCTGCCTTTTCCCGTCCAGCACCTGCCGCTGTGTGGGGCCGCCCGGCTCCTCGGTCTCCGCCAGCCCTGACGGTTCCTCCGTCTCCCTGGGCGTGACCCGGAGGCCTCCTGGGGTTACCTGCAGGGCGCCGGGCAGTCGGGCTCGGGCTGATGTTGTCCCGGGAGGAGACGCGCAGGGGCCACAGCCGGCCCTTGTCTGCGCCTTCTCGGTGCTGACGTCACGTGAATCTCCGGTCCAGTGCTGGCCGGGATACTCCGCGGCAGGGTGCTGTGTTTAGTACTGTTAAACACTGGGGCAGGTACGGCGGGCCAGCCTGTTCTTGCCTGACCCTCACCTGCGAGTGTCAGCACCCACTGCCAGGTACGTCTTGCCGAGAAAGTCGCAAGTGTGAGATTCAGTGAGCGTCTCGCGCCCTCGTCTTCCACTGCGTCCTTAGTTAGATTCGTCTGGAGCAACGTCGGTCCCTCACCGACTTATTCATGCACACGCTTGCCGACGTCCGCACGAACTCACGGACGTCCATTTACTCTCTGGGCTACAGTCAGTCCACAGGACCCCCGAGGGCCATGCCTCAGCCACAGAGCCCACCAGGGCCTGGGCCCTTCTACACGTCCCCCACCCCATCTCCTCTCCCTGCTCACTCCTCCCTCTCTGACCACAGAACCCACTAGCTCTCCCAGGTTCACTGGCTCCTTTGATTGGAGAAAGGTATTAATTAACCATGATCTGGACATGGGTGTGCTGACTGCTACACGTCGTCCCTGCATCTGTCCGTGTGTGTGCACATGTGAGCACACACGTTGTCCCTGCATCTGTCCGTGTGCACACGTGAGCACACATGTCCCTGCATCTGTCCGTGTGTGTGTACACGTGAGCACACACGTTGTCCCTGCATCTGTCCGTATGTGTGCACACGTGAGCACACACATGTCCCTTCATCTCTGTGTGTGCACACGTGAGCACACACATGTCCCTGCATCTGTCCATGTGTGCACACGTGAGCACACACATGTCCCTGCATCTCTCCGTGTGTGCACACGTGAGCACACTCACTTCCACCATGAACCCAGGTCTGTGTCCCACTGAAGTCCAGCACTGCCGAGTTCACTCCAGCCTCACGTTTCTGCAACAACGAGGAATCGCGTTTCCTTTTTTTCAGGTGTCCTCAGATAGAAGCGAGGTTGCCCCTCCACGAGTGGGCTTTGCCAGATGCTCCGGCCTCGTGCCTGGCTGTGTGGTCTCCCCAGTTCCGTCCACCACTAGGCTCTCCGCAGAGGCTCACAGCTGTGAGCCCCGTAAACCTCTTTCACTCATAAAGTAGCCCGCCTACTTCTGTTTTTGCTTTAAGATTCATTTGTGTATTTGAAAGTTAGTTACAGAGAAAGGGAGATTCAGAGAGAAATATCTTCTATGCGCTGGGTCACTCCCAAATGCCCACAACAGCCGGGCTGGGCCAGGTTGAAGCCAGGAGCCAGGAGCTCCATCCAGGTCTCCCATAGGGGTGGCAGAGGCCCAGGGCCATCTTCCACTGCTTTCCCAGGTCATTAGCAGGGAGGTAGATCGGAAGTGGAGCAGCCGGGACTAGAACCGGTGCCCATATGGGATGCAGGCACTTCCTGCTATGCCACAGTGCCGGCCCCAAGCCTGCCTGCTCTGAATATGGCAATGCAAAACAGACCCATGCAGTTATGTGGGGCGAGTTTCCCTCGGTCCACCGTCTCGGGGCTTGGTGAAGACGAGGGGCACGCCGTGTCCGAGCGTTCGTGTAACAGCAGTTTCCCGAGGGCCCACCGGGCACCAGGCACTGGCGGTCAGACTGGCACTGACCTCAGAGTAGCGCTCGCCCTGTGGGGCTCCCAGCTGCACGGGGCGATAAACAGCAAACGGCTCGGCTGTTCAACCCAGGCCGCTGGGGCAGGCGGGGTGGCTTCCCGGGGGAGTGACAGAGAGGTAGGCGAGGTCAGAGGGAGGACCAGTGGACCCCCGGCGAGCAGAGGGAGGCGCCTGCTCCATGGCGGCCCCGGGCCACTGCAGCCCCAGGCCCTGCGCCAGCCCCGCAGGCCAGTCAACCTCCACGTGTCCTGGAGCCGCCGTCCCTCTGCCCTGTCCACTCCCCAGCTGAAATCCCGTCGGCCGCCTTGGCCGCTTCTTCAGCCGTCTGCAGCGGGCCGGCAGACACACGAGGACCAAAGAGAACAGACCGCTGGGGCGGTCACGGGCAGATAAGAGGCTTCCCCGGTGGTGGGCACCTGGACCTAGTGCGGATCTGCAAGACCTTCCACACCTATGGGAAGGGTTTGCTGCCGCTAGGCCTCCCTGTCCCGCACCTGCTGAGCACCGCTGGTGACCGCTAGGCCTGGGCAGGACCGGATCCCCCAGGGAAGCCGCCATCAGAAAGGGGCGGGGCCGGGAGCCTGCGGCCTCTGGGTGAGGGTGCAGCTGGGACACCTGCATCCCACACTGTGGCGCCCAAATTTGAGCCCCAGCTCCTCTGCCTACTCCCACGTGCTGCTAGCACACACCCTGGGAGACAGCTCGTGCTGGGTGCGTGACACTCGCGCGGGAGACTCGGGAGGCGTCTCCCACTCCTGGCTTCTGCCTGGCCCAGCCCTGGCTGCTGGGGAACGAGCTCGCTCGCTCTCTGCCTTTCACATAAATAAAAAGCAGTCACCTATTTTTTTAGACACACCCACGGAGGGAGAAGGGATGCGAACAGGTGTCAGCGATGGTAGGGACTCACCGCGAATACCGATAAGCATTGCCGTAACCCTCAGAGCTGGTCACGAACACTGCGGGGCACACGTGGACACACACACACACACACACGCACACAGGGTGAGGATCTATAAAGGAGCAAGAGCTGTACCTCATAGACCGATCCGATTTCATAATCTGTGAAAAACACCACCGACGGCTTGGCCAGAAACACCGGGGTATCGGCACAGCTGCGGGGGAAGCGGGGGCCAGGGTGAGTGCTGTTCGCACACGGACGCCACGCAGGGGCCCCCAGACACGCCCAGGCGGCTCTTGGGTGTTTCTGGCTGTCACGGCAGGCCCCTGCATCGTGGAGCAGCCCGATGCGGTCTTGGTAGACGTGGGAGCGGCAGGATCTTCTGCACGCAGGGAGAACCCGGAAGCCTTGGCACCAGCGTGCTGCCCGGGCTCTACGAGCAGGAGGAGGTGGTGTTTCCAGCATCAGGCTTCCTGCTAAGAAGCCGTCAGCTGTCTCGATAGGGAAACGGTCACAGCTCTAAGTCCATTAAAACTAGGAACGCACGAGGGGCCGGCGCTGCGGCACGGCAGGCGAAGCCGCTGTCTGTGACACCAGCATCCCGTATGGGCGCCGGTCCAGTCCCGGCTGCGCCCCTTCCCATCCAGCTCCCTGCCAATGGCCTGGGAAGGCAGTGGAGGATGGCCCGAGTGCTTGGGCCCTGCACCCGCGTGGGAGACCAGGAAGAAACTCCTGGCTCCTGGCTTCGGTTCAGGCCCAGCCCTGGCTGTTGCAGCCATTTGGGGAGCAAACCAACAGGTGGAAGATTATTATTTCAAATAAATAAATAAATCTTTAAGATTAAAAAAAAAAAAACATGCGGCTGGTGCAGCGGCTCACTAGGCTAATCCTCTGCCTTGTGGCGCCGGCACACCGGGTTCTAGTCCCGGTCGGGGCGCCGGATTCTGTCCCGGTTGCCCCTCTTCCAGGCCAGCTCTCTGCTGTGGCCAGGGAGTGCAGTGGAGGATGGCCCACGTGCTTGGGCCCTGCACCCCACAGGAGACCAGGATAAGTACCTGGCTCCTGCCTTCGGATCAGCGCAGTGCGCCGGCCGCAGTGCGCCGGCCACGGCGGGCATTGGAGGGTGAACCAACGGCAAAGGAAGACCTTTCTCTCTGTCTCTCTCTCTCACTGTCCACTCTGACTGTCAAAAAATTAAAAAAAAAAAACATGCATTTTAACTGAACATGTACAGGACTTATTTCTTATAAAAAAAAAACTAAGAATCTGCGAAGCAACTCCTTCCCTTCATAAGGATAATTACTGAAGTACAGCCAAGTCATAGCCAAATCAGGCAAATCATTGTAATCACGCAAACTGTAAGTGCTGTTACGTTTAAGACGGTGGAGTCCGATGGAAGACACAGGTGGCCAGGGAGCGCCCCCAGTCTGGCCTGGGCCGCTCAGAGCTCAACACGGAGCTGTTTCTCAAGACGCTGGCAGGGCAGAAAACCGTGAGGCCAGGACTTGGGGGGACGCCCAACTGCGACATCTCTGGGTGACCCTGAAGCCCTGCCCCCTCCCCAAAAAACTCGAGGGGCCTCCATAGCCAGACCGGACCCGAGAGCTGCTGGGTTTCTCTCTAACAGGCCAGGCTCTGAGCGCGCAAGCCGGGGACAGTCGCACCTCCGTTCCGGCTGCAGGCTCTCCGGCTGTCTCGATGGCGCAGGCTTCTTGGGAGGAAGAATGAGAGACCTGCCTCCGTGCGGGGTGTCAGGGGGTGAAAACCGCGGGTTCCGCAGGAAGTCATTCCGGCCTCGGTGCCAGCTGCTGCTGCTGCCAGGCGGGGTTGGCTGTGCCGCTCTCTGCGGCACGCGCCGCTGGTTCGCCCAGTTTGTACTCTTCAGGGGCTCTGTGCTCTGGGGGAGGAGCCAGAGAGAGTGGACACCCTGACCTCCTGCATCACGGCCACAGCCAGCGCACAGAATCCCGCCCGGCCCCAGGGGCCACACCCAGGCAGCACAGGCGCTCCGGAGCCGACCTTGACCGCGTCTCTGGTCCTCTGTCTGGCCTTGGAAGTCGAGTCCCACGTCTCGCTGTCCACGGTGTGGTCCAGCTCCTCTTCAGGCACAGCCAGCAGCTGCCGGCACAGAACGTTGAGCTTCCTGGTGAGACTTCTCTTCGGCACGGAACGCATCTCAAAACTGAACGTCGGTCTGGAATACCCGGGGAGGATGATGCCTAGGGCGCCAAGGAGACGCGGAGTCGCCACAGCCCGGCGAGGGGCTGGACGTCTCCACGAGGACCCGAGCGAGGCCGCCAACGCCACAGCCGGGGCCACGTCCTCCCGTAAACGGGCTCCAGAGCAACTGCCGACGCACACGTGAACTCACGCTGCCGGCGTGCTCAGGGGACATCGCTGGACTCCGCCTCGCACGCTGGCAGGTGCACGGACCCCACGCGGGCACGCGCGTCTTACAGGGCTCGCGTGCGGGACCCAGCTTCTCACGGTTCTCACACTGTGAGATCCTCCGGGGGCTAAGTGAGGATGTGCGTTGCTAGCAAGGACGCAGCGGGGCCCGCACCACACACGTCCTAGCCTGACGCCGCCCGGCATCCCTCACCTGCGTAGGCCAGGGTCTCCCACTACCGCTAACACACAAGAGGCTTAGTGCCCCTAGCACGGCCCGGCCCCTCCCCTGCGTGCCCCAGCCCACCACCGCAACCCTTGTCGTCAGCACTCTCAACACCTTGGGGTCCACCCTGCCCGCCACCCTCCCCCAAAGGCCGAGACCCTCACACGGAGAGCCTGTCTCCGAGCCCCCGCTGCTGCCCAGTCCTGGTTTCCATCCACAGGAGCCACACAGCCCGCAGGAGCCACACGGCCGCGCCTCCAAAGTCCACCTGCCTGCTTAGGCGACGCAGCCTCCTGTCCACCCATCCTCAGAGCCAGCCTCTCCAATCTCGGGAAACTGACCCGTTCTCTCCCTCCCTCCCTCCCTCCCTCCCTCCCTCTCTCTCTCTCCCCCCCTCCCTATTCCTCCCCTCCATTCCCGAAGGAGGAAAAGCCCCCGTTTCCGTCTGAGGACCCCGCGTCCGAGGTCCACCCCCAGTGGGCGCCGGCTCCCCGGCTTGCGTCGTCAGCCCCTCCCTCTCCTGTTTCATTCACCACCTCCTCTACAACCGCCTTCTCTCTTGCTTTTTGGGGGCCGGCAGGGATGTCGGGGAGCTGGCCAGGACGTGGCACACTCAGATTCGACTCTCCCCATGGGCACCCGCAGCACGAGGGCAAAGGGGGGCCCAGGCAGCTCGACACACGGCGGCTCTCAGGGGGAGGCACGGGCATTACCTTTGGGTGCAGAGCAAAACGGCACTGCCTGGTCGTAGTAGTCCTCGGGGCAGATCAGGTGGCGCTCCCGCAGCAGCTCGCTGTCAATGCACCACCGGAACATGGTCTTCACTGCGGGGGGCGGGGGACGGCGGTCAGCCGCTCTGGCCCAAACCTGCGTCGTCCCCTGGGCCGGCCAGGGGAGCCTGGTCTCTGCCAAGAGCCACGTGGGCATTCACACTCCGGCCGCCGGCCACCCAGGGCGATCGACTTCGACGGCGGCCTGCTGCACTTACTCACTTTCAAGTGCTGCCTGCAGCTGCCCTGGCAGAGCCGGATGGAACGATTCCCTGGGGCCTTATACGCCCCCCCCACCCCCACCCCGGGTGTTCCCCACCCCCGCCGAATGAGCCCGAGATGAACTCCCGTCCCAGAGCTCTGTGCTAGCGCTGGGACTGAAGACACGAATCAGGTGTGTAAGAGCCAGCCGCCGGGCAGGGCTGTGCCGCGGGATATCATCCGAGTTCAAATACGGCCTGTGACACAACAGACCGCCAGGGATGGAGGGCTGGACAGACGGCCCCAGCACGTCGCCGTCCGAATCCTGGCCCTCCGCTCTGCGAGCCTGCAGTCAGAATGCCCCTCGTCGCCCGTGATGCTGGCCACTGAGGTGTCGGCAAGGGTTCCAGACACACCGGCCCGGCTGTCTGCCTTCGGGCTCCTGGGCTGCTGTCGTGAGATGGTGTGGGCCCTGTTCCCCTCGTCCTGAACCCCAGCATCCATTCACATGGAGCAGACCCCAGACCCGAGCCCAGCCCACAGCAAGGAGCCACGCTCAGCTGACCCATAGCCTGAAGCCAGTGCACGAGCCCAGCCCAGCCACCCCGGCCCACTCCCCGCTGGTCCATACACAGATGGGAGAGGAAACCCCACTGACCAGGATAGGAAGTCAGCAATGAGCATTTGGGGCTAGAAACAGTAGAAAAGACTCATGGTTGGCGGTTCCAAGATGGCGGAATAGGGAAGGAGCTTACTGCTCTAGCCCAGGAGAAGATAGTTTAAAAAAGTGGAGAGATGGGGCTGGCACCGGAGAGCAGGTTAATCCTCTGCCTGCAGCACCAGCAACCCATATGGTCACCGGTTCGAGTCCCGGCTGCTCCACTTCCAGTCCAGCTCTCTGCTGTGGCCTGGGAAAGCAGTGGAAGATGGCCCAAGTCCTTGGGCCCCTGCACCCACATGGGAGACCTGGAAGAAGCTCCTGGCTCCTGGTTTTGGATTGGCGCAGCTCCAGCCATTGTGGCCATTTGGGGGGTGAACCAATGGAAGGAAGACCTTTCTCTCTGTCTCTCTCTCACTGTCTGTAACTCTACCTGTCAAATAAATAAATAAAATTAAAAAAAAAAAGTGGAGATACTGTAGTCTCAGGAAAGAGTTAGGGGAAAGCTGCAGAGGAAACTCTTCTGGAACCAGCGGGACACGGTGGACCTACGTGGAGGACACGCGCGCACACGGCCCGGGACTCCAGCAGCCAAGAGCCTCCGTGCCAGCGCTGGAAAGAGGGGTGAGACGAGACCACGGTAGCCCGAGACACTGGCGGAAAAGCGGCAGGAAGAGCCTAGAGGGGACGAGGTTGAAGCCCCATGGGGGGAAGTCCACCAGCCTAACTCGAGGAGAGAGAAAATAAAAGGGACGGTACAGACACGATTCTCTCTCCAACCACCTTACAAAGGCATAAAAGCCAATAGGGCACGTGCCATTCTGGACATACATAACAGCTGCACCAGCTCGGGGCTGTGCCCGGCAATCAGCCAAGCAGAAAAACCTGACTCTGGTGGGAGAAATAACGGGAGACTAGACCTAGTGAATGTGTGGAGCTTCTGAACCAGGACTGTGGGTGGGGGAGAATAACAGGGTGTGTGGGAGAACTCACAGTGTGGCTGAGACGCGAGTAGTCTCTGTGGGAGATGCTGCACACTCAGGCGGCCCTGGCTACCCACTGAGAGACACTGCAGGGGAATCTGAGCTTACGCTGAGGACTGCACAGATCCTTTGTGGGGTCGGGACACAGCAGACAAATATTATACCCACTGGGGCTAGCGCTCAGGGACTGATCGCCATCAAGGAGGAGAGCTCAGCTGAGCGAATTACTTCCCTTCAGATTAGAGAGAGAGAGAGAGAGAGAGAGAGAGAGAAGATTTACCACACCAAACCTGGTGTGGCACCTTAGGCACACCCTTAACCCTGCAGAGCTGAACAGAGCTCTCTGGCTACACCCACCACAAGCCTCTAGAGATTCACTGAAAGCAGACAGTCCACTTATCTACAGAGTCATAGTACAACGAGAAAAGCCGCCACAGTGGGAAAAAAAGAAGAAACCAACAACAAATGCAACAACCCAAAACAACATGACACTCCTAAAAGAACATGACATTTCAATACAAGATTATGAAGATGATGAGATAGAAGAAATGCAAGAAATGGAACTCAAAAAATTTATGGTAAGAATACTTAGAAGAAATCAAAAACAAATGCACAAACTACTGAAATCCATGCAGGGCCTGAAAGAAAATCTCATGAGAATGAAATCTTAAGGAGGAATCAAAATGAAGTGAAGAATCCAATAGAACAAATAAAAAACACAGTTGAGAGCCTTAAAAACAGAATCAGTGAGGCAGAAGAGAGAATATCGGACTTAGAAGACAGAGCACAGGGAAGTATACAGTCAAACCAAAGAAAAGAGGAAATTAGAAATAAAAAATATATTGTAGGGAATCTACAGGATACTATTAAAAAAAACAACATTCGAGTTCTAGGAGTTCCTGAAGGCATGGAGAGAGAGAAAGGATTAGAAGGCCTTTTTAGTGAGATACTAGCAGAGAACTTTCCAGGTTTGGAGAAGGACAGAGACATCCTAGTACAGGAAGCTCATAGAACCCCCAATAAACATGACCAAAAGAGATCCTCACGACACGTGGTAATCAAACTCACCACAGTGAAACATAAAGAAAAGATTCTAAAATGTGCAAGAGAGAAACATCAGATTACTTTCAGAGGATCTCCAATCAGACTCACAGCTGACTTCTCATCAGAAACCCTACAGGCTAGGAGGGAATGGCGAGACATAGCCCAGGTACTAAGAGAGAAAAACTGCCAGCCCAGAATATTATATCCTGCCAAGCTATCATTTGTGAATGAAGGTGAAATAAAGACCTTTCATAGCAAACAGAAATTGGAAGAATTTGTTGCCACTCGTCCAGCCCTGCAAAAGATGCTTAAAGATGTGTTACACACAGAAACACAGAAACACGGTCATAATATGAAAGAAGGTAAAGGAAGGAAAGCTCACAGCAAAAGATCACAGGGAATTCAAAGCATATATTAGAAAATATCTTTGGCAAATGGCAGGGCAAAGTTACTACATATCATTAGTCACATTGAACGTTAATGAACTGTCCAGTTAAAAGACACAGATTGGCTGACTGGGTTAAAAAAAAAAAAAAAACAAAAAACACCTGGCCGGCGCCGCGGCTCACTAGGCTAATCCTCCACCTGTGGTGCCAGCACACCGGGTTCTAGTCCTGATTGGGGTGCCGGATTCTGTCCCGATTGCCCCTCTTCCAGTCCAGCTCTCTGCTGTGGCCCGGGAGGGCAGTGGAGGATGACCCAAGTACTTGGGCCCTGCACCCCATGGGAGACCAGGAGAAGCATCTGGCTCCTGCCTTCAGATCGGCGCAGCATGCTGGCCATGGCAGCCATTTGGGGGATGAACCAATGGAAGGAAGACCTTTCTCTCTGCCTCTTAGTGTCTCCCATCTCCGGGCCGTCCCTCCAGGCCACAGACCCGCTCTCCATCCACTGCACAGATGGCCTCGCCACCTCAACTCACCACCTCCCCAGCGCTAAGTGACCAGGAGGCCACGGCCAACCGCACAGCGGCGCTGAAATCAGCAAGACCCAGACAGGCGAGGCTCTAGGAGAAACACATCGGTCGCTTAAAGAGAGGCTCTGAGATGTCCCAAATGAAGGCGTGGGGAACTGCAAGGCCCCGGCCCCGCAGCGGCCCGGACCGAGAGCAGAGCCCCTGGGAGGCGCCGAGGGGCTCCGGACGGCACCTGTGGGTGGCAGCGACCCTGGGTTTGGTGGGGGGAACACAGTGTGACGCCTGGCCAGGACAGCCCACGTGGCCGGCGGGGCACCTCACACCCACCTGGAGGCAGCCTGACGGGGACCTCGTGGGCCTGCACTTTGGCCTGGTTCACCGCCCGCTCCGTCTCGGCCAGGGCCCGGGCGCGGGCTTGGATCACGTGCTGCTCCAGCATCTGGATCTCGCCCAGCCGCTGCTTGTAGATCTCCCGGATCTGGGGGGGAGGGGCAGAGGCGCAGGAAGAGCGTGGGGTCAGGTGGCCTCGCCCGGCCCCACCCCAGCACCACTCCTGCCAGCTGGTCCCGGCCCTGGACGCCAACCCTGCACCTGACAAAGCGCTCGCAGCACGCAGAGCTGCCCTCCAGACCGTGAAACACAAGGTTCTCCAACTTGCTTCTGAAAATGGAAGCGTCCGGGGCAGCGCTGTGGGGCACTGGGTGAGGCCGACACTGGTGACACCCGCCGCTCTGAGTCCCTGCCACCACGTGGGAGACCCGGTGGGGCTCTTGGCTCCTGACGCGGCCCCGCCCAGCCCCGGGCTGGAGGGTGGGAATCTGTCTCTCCCTCTCTCCACACTCTGCCTTTCGACTACATAAATCAGTGAATCACTGTATGAAGTGCTGCAGCCCCATACCCAGGTGGGAAGGGGACAGCTCATCCGTCCTGGAGCCTGGAAACACCCTCCAGGGGACGGCAGCCTAGAACATTCCATTAAGCATAAGCACTGGCTTTGTGTGCCGTGCCCTCTCACCCGGCTCTGCCTGAGTCCCCTGAGCCTAATCCTCGGGCGGAGGAAAGAGCACCTCCCCCGCACTGACAACAACAGTCAACAGCAGGCCCTCACCGAGCGTCCACGACACAAACACGCGGAGCCACGCTGACGCAGTCTGCCTCGCTCAGTCCTCGAACAACCCACAGGGCAGGCGTCACCCGCCCCAGGTGACAGGGGAGGCGTCACCCACCCCAGGTGACAGGGGAGGCCTCACCTGCCCTAGGTGATGGGGAGGCCTCACCCACCCCAGGTGACAGGGGAGGCATCACCCATCCCAGGTGACAGGGCAGGTGTCACCCACCCCAGGTGACAGGGGAGGCGTCACCCACCCCAGGTGACAGGGGAGGCGTCACCCACCCCAGGTGACAGGGGAGGCCTCACCCGCCCCAGGTGACAGGGGAGGCGTCACCCACCCCAGGTGACAGGGGAGGCCTCACCCACCCCAGGTGACAGGGGAGGCCTCACCTGCCCCCAGGTGACAGGAGAGGTGTCACCCGCCCCAGGTGACAGGGAGGCATCACCCGCCCCAGGTGACAGGGGAGGCATCACCCATCCCAGGTGACAGGGGAGGCGTCACCTGCCCCAGGTGACGGGGAGGCGTCACCTGCCCCATGTGACAGGGGAGGCGTCACCCGCCCCAGGTGACAGGGAGGCGTCACCCGCCCCAGGTGACAGGGGAGGTGTCACCCGCCCCATGTGACAGGGGAGGCGTCACCCACCCCAGGTGACTGGAGAGGTGTCACCCACCCCCAGGTGACAGGGGAGGCGTCACCCGCCCCAGGTGACAGGGGAGGCATCACCCACCCCAGGTGACAGGGGAGGTGTCACCCGCCCCAGGTGACAGGGGAGGCGTCACCCATCCCAGGTGACAGGGCAGGCGTCACCCACCCCCAGGTGACTGGAGAGGCGTCACCCGCCCCAGGTGACTGGAGAGGCGTCACCCGCCCCCAGGTGACAGGGGAGGTGTCACCTGCCCCCGGTCCCCAGGTGATGGGGAGGAGACCAAGCCTTGTGGAAGCCCGGGTCACCCAAGGTCATGCCCGGGGGCGTGTGGAGGCGGCAGGATTGAAAGCAGGGCATTTGCTCTGTGGGCCATCGACACTTCTGTTGTGGAGGAAGTACGGCCACAATGACACGACACAGACCTTGGAAAGCGGCTGCTTGCGTTAACCAGTGAGGCAGCTGCCCACTGGGATCCTGTCTAGGGAGGGAAGACGTCCTAAGTTCTGCTTTGGTAAACTCCGGTCATAAATCTGTCCTGACAAATCTGCCCCTGGTGTCTCTCTGCAAACAAACCAGGCCCAGCGACCACTGCAGTGTGGTCCCAGGTCACGCAGGCTGCAGTTTAAACCAGCAATGCTGTAACAGCTGAGATGTGACGCTGATGAGCCTATAAACACTGTAAGAAACTGGGGACTGTGGCCCGGTGATTCCAGCTGAGCCCGCTGGCGTAATAAACTGCTCTGATCCTCCACCGTCTCTGGTGCCTGTTTGAACAAAGGGCGTCTTCCCACCTCGGATTTCTGCAACACCGCAGGCAGGCGGAGGGGAGGCCGGCAGCCAGCAAGGCAGCCGGGGGATGGGGTGTGTGTGTGTGTGTATATATATATATATATATATATATATATATAGTGTGTGTGTGTGTTCCTAATGTCGTCCTATGACATCTTTGCTAAGTTAATGCATGGCAAGGAGCTGTCTATCAAACACGTGTAACTCATTCTTTTTAATAACTGCGTAGTATCCCTTACTGTGAACACACTGCAATTCATAGCCGGTCGCTCTCGGCACAGCTGCACCACTACAGGATCCCCCTGCGAACCTCTCTGCGTTCTGAAACAGTGGACGTGCATGACTTTTATCTTCAAAACGCCAAAGCTTTAAAAGGAACAGACGGAGGGCTCGTCTGCCAGTTCGGGCCCAGGACAGTGGCTCCCGGGGGAGAGAGATGAAGGGGTGGCCTCCGGTGACTGATGTGGGGCTCACGACTTCTGCTCCGTTCGCTGAAGTCTCAGCAGAGCGAAGGTGGCGGCCCTGGAAGACGGGAGCACGGGGGCGCCTCCTGGGGTCCTGGTGGATCCCGGGAAGCCTGGAGTCCTTGGAGGGCACGCATCCCATCCCAGCCGCAGGTCGGCCACTCCGGCTGGGGCGCAAGCGCGCAGGACAGGTGGTGCGCGCGTGTGCACCCGCATGCCCGCTTCTCATCTACCGCTGACCAGAGCAGGGCTGGTGCAGCCCAGTGCGGAGGCAAGAGCAGCTTCCAAGACCCGGGGGTGAGCGGCTTGGGGGGCGCGTGGGGAGGCCTGCGCTCTCGCCCCGCCACGCGAGTGCGCACTGCGGTCCGTGACAGCGCGGCCGCCCCGAAGGGCCCACAGCAGGGGCCACGTCCCGCGGGCGCCCCACGCCCCGTGGGCGCGCGCTACCTGCCGCAGCTGCTCCACGAACGCCTCGTGGCGCTGGTTCTCGCTGCCGCGGCCCTTGATGAGGCTGGCGCTCAGGTCCTCGCCGATCACCTCCCCCGAGTACAGGCCGCGGAAGACGCCCGCGAGCAGGTGCGAGATGTCTTGGGTGCGCAGGGAGGCGGGCCGCAGGCGCAGCGGCTTGGGCTCCGGGGCCGGCGCCAGTGCCAGCGGCCCGACGCGCCGCGGCCGGGCCATGGAGCTGCCGGGCGCGCCCTCGGAGCCGGCGGCGGAGGACTGCACCGAGGACCTCCAGGTGGACTGGCTGGGGCTGCTGAGCTCGTCCCGCTCTGATGGCGGCGCTGGCGTGGCCCCCAGGCACCCGTGGTCCGGGGACCCGGCGGCCCTGGGCTCCATGGCGCTGCTGGGCTCCATGGCAACTGGGACGCCGCGGGCCGCCCGCGTCTGCTTCCGGTCCCGCCCCTTCCGTGGCCCCCCCACCCGGGGGGCTGGGTGGGTGTCGTCATTGCAGCCCCGCGCGGCCGTTGGTCGGTGGGCTTGGGAGCCCAAGCGCGTGGGCAGGGGGAGTGCGTCCGGCCAGGCCTTGCAGTTGCCTGCTTGCCCGCCGTGGGCCCGCAGACTTGTGCACCGGCTCAGATAAGAGTGAAGACCTTGTTGCAGGTCTGTGCGGGGCGCCCAGGCGGCTGCTGTGGGGGTGCTCGGCCACGCGTGTCCGTGCGCGCGCGTGTGGGTGTGATTGTGCATGTGTGTCCCTGAGAGATGTGATGGCGTGATTGTGCATGCGGTGTGACTGTGATGGTGGGGCGCGTGCATTTATGATGTGTGTGGTTGTGTGTGGTTGTGTGCATGCGTGTGTGCCTGTGTGCGATTCTGTGGGGCGCGTGCATTTATGATCTGTTTGCTGCATGTGTGACTTTGCAGGTATGTGGTGCACGTGTGCCTTGTGTGTGTGCCCTCACGTGTGAGTGTGTGTGAGAGATGAGGTGGTGGGGCGGGAGGGTCCCTGAGGTGCCTGCAGTAGGGTTGGTGAGGCCGAGGTGAGGGGGACTGTGGTTGGTGGGGACCTCAGAGGACAGGATCGTAGTCTGCAGGGAGACGAGGTGAGATTTGAGGAATGAGCCGTCAGCTCTGAGCCATTGGGGGAGTGCACATGAGACTCACAGAACCTCAGCGTGATGCGCCACCCGCTGAGCCCCACGCAGACCGTGGAGACCGCGTGGAGGGTGTGAGTGCTGGCCAGGACGCGGAGCGGCTGCGGCACAGGCGGTGGCAGGCTGAGCCCCACTCCCCAGGGGAAATGAAGCGCCGTGCCCACACAGAACCTGGCACACAGACGTGTATGCCGGAGTCACTCGCCATCACCAGAACCGGGGAAGCAAAACCTCACCCTGGGGCGTGGCTATGTAAATTGAAGGGTATCTGACAGCGGGACAGAGACAGAGAGAAAGGAGACACTGCTGATCCAGCAGTGGAGAGGAGGCCCAGGTGCCTTGTGCCGCCCGAAGAAACCACTCTCAAAGGACTACATGCGTGGAACATTCCAGAAAATGCCAAACAGCGCCCCGAGCCGAGAGTGGGAGCTGGAGCTGGCTGCAAAGGGGCATGAACGAGTTTCGTGGGCTGATGGAGCTGTTCTGTACCTTTTTTTAAGCAAAACGAGTAGGAATAACGCAGATGGAAAACGGGACTGCGTGCCCAGGGACCAGCGGTGCAGGAGCTGAGAGATTGCTGCCCGGGAGGGCCAGCTCACACCGCGGACTCCCAAAGGCTCACGGGAAGTGGCATTACGATGGGGAAAAAAAATCCAAACCCACGCCTGGTTTTTCCGTAACAAGCTTCTCCGTGAAATCTTGAAGACCCCTCAGCCGTGAGCATGGAGCCGCGGTCGGGGGTTTGGGCTCAGTCCCGGGGCAGTAGAGGGGCCGCCAGGGTCTGGAGCTGGGCATGACCTGGTCAGCTCCGTGTCTTACTAGGGCGTTTCTGGCTGCTCTGGGAGTAGACATGAGGCAAGAGGCCAGGGACAGAGCGCTTAGGAAACTGTGAGAGCTTGGGCAGGGACTGAGGGCAAACAGACGGACAGACGGACACGACAGCGGAGCTGACAAACCTGCGGGTGACGCTGGGAGCTAAGGGTGCCTCCCCAGGGTCCTGTGTGCCGTCAGATGCGTGATTATGTCACCTGCCGAGTCAGGGCGAGGCTGCACTTGTCCAGGGAGGCGGAGTGACGTCGCCGCCACCACTGTCGCTGGTGGGCTGTGGCTTCTGCTCACGGGATGCACCAGCCACAAATTGCTGGCTTTCCAGCCTGAAAGCCACTTCCTGAGCGAGTCTCAGGATGCCCGGCCACTTCCGCTTCCCCCGGCGGGCCGCTCCTCCCTCCCGGGTCTTGCAGGACTGTTTCCGTCCTGTGAGCTGGGGAGCAGGGCCCCTGTCCTGGACGGGGTGCTTCACAGGGCCTGCTCCTCCCCGCTGCGCCCCGCAGAACAGGGGGCACAGGGCCAGGGTGACGTGCCCAAGCCTGCCCTCCAGGTGCCAGACACCGTGCGTCCGTTTCCAGGGCAGGCGGTGGAAGCCTCTCCTTTGGGCCCCTGTGGCTGGCTTTGCTGGGACTGGAGGAGCTGGGAGGGGGCTCTGTGGGGCAGGTGGGCAGTTTGTCCCCTGTCCATTTGCATGTGGGCCCCCTGGTGGTGTAAGCAGCAGCTGCTGGTGGAGGAGGAGCGGGACAGTCTCCAGTTGGGGCGAACCCGTGCCAGGCAGGTGCACCTGTCGGGTAGAAGCGGAACCTCCGGCCCCTTCCCTGTGCCAGGGGAGACCAGGACAGTCCTGCCTCCGAGTCACGGGGAGTCTCACCCAGCCTGGGAGGGGTCTCCCCTGCTTCCCCCCCAACCCTGCCCACCCGCAGGCACCAGCCAGGCCATGGCCGCCAGCAGCAAGCGCCCGCCGGTCTTCTGGGCCATCTGACACTGCCACCTGATCTCCGACTGCGTGGCTGTCCCGTCCTCCCCTCCTCCCCTTCTGGTGCACGGGGCGCGACCCTGACTGCTTCTCTCTGCCTCTGCACCATGAGCCAAGGGTCCCTGCCCTCCAGCCAGCCCCTTCCCCTGGGGAGCGCACAGAGGGAGCTCCCTGGGAGCTGTCCTCTTCATTCCAGGCCTGCTCCCGCCCAGTTTCTGTTTGCTTGTTTCTCTCGGGCTCCCACGCAGGTCTCTGGCCTTTCCCCCAGATGGTTAGATTGTTTCAGTGTCTGTGCAACAATGTGTTCTACCTGGTATCTACCAAGTCATTCTTTTTTTTTTTTTTTTTTTGAAAGGCAGAATGGATAGAGAGACAGAGAGAAAGGTCTTCCTTCTCCGTTGGTTCACCCTGCAATGGCCTCTGCGGCTGGTGCACTGCGCTGATCTGAAGCCAGGAGCCAGGTGCTTCTCCTGGTCTCCCATGGGGTGCAGGGCCCAAGCACTTGGGCCATCCTCCACTGCACTCCCTGGCCACAGCAGAGAGCTGGTCTGGAAGAGGGGCAACCGGGACAGAACTGGCGCCCTGACCGGGACTAGAACCCAGGGTGCCGGTGCCGCAGGCGGAGGATTAGCCTAGTGAGCCGCAGCACCGGCCCCAAGTCATTCTTAATTTAAAAAAAAAAAAAAAAGAAAGAAAGAAAGAAACGCAAGTGACATCATCATGTCGCACTTATCGTCTGGCCGCCTGCTTTTTTCGCTTGTCACCTTCTGTAGCAGCTGGTGAGGGCACCACGGTTTCCTTGGCTTTAGTGACAACCTACTTCTTACGTGTGGAGCACTTGAGAGTACAACGCTTCTGCATGATCAGATCAGTCCTCTTTGGGCAAAGGTCCATTCATTTTAGTACTGGAGACACTGCTGATTCTCCCTCTGGGTAGACCATACCCAAGTACACTCCTTTCGGCATTCTGGGAGAGTGTATGGACACTTTATTATTATTTTTCAAAAGATTATTTATTTAAGAGGTAGAGTTATAGACAAAGAGTGGGACAGAGAGAAAGTTCTTCCACTCACTGGTTCACTCTGCAAATGGCCACAAAGGCTGGAGCTGGGTCCATCCAAAGCCAGGAGCCAGGAGCTTCTTCCAGGTCTCCCACGTGGGTGCAGGGGCCCAAGGACCCGAGCCATCTTCTACTGCTTTCCCGGGCCACAGCAGAGAGCTGGACTGGAAGAGGAGCAGCCGGATTGGAACCGGTGCCATATGGGATGCCGACGCCACAGGCAGAGCATTAACCTACCGTGCCACAGCGCCGGCCCCTATTCTGACACTTTCTCAGTGGACGTGCATGACTTTTATCTTCAAAACGCCAAAGCTTTAAAAGGAACAGACGGAGGGCTCGCCTGCCAGTTCGGGCCCAGGACAGTGGCTCCCGTGGGAGAGAGATGAAGGGGGGGCCTTCGGTGACTGCTGTGGGGCTCACGGCTTCTGCTCCATTCGCTGAAGTCTCAGCAGAGGGAAGGTGGCAGCCCTGGAAGACGGGAGCACGGGGGCGCCTCCTGGGCCCCCCAGCATGTTCTGAGCCGTAGCCTGGCCCACGGGCCCCTCCTGGAGTCCAGGCTTGCGGCCTTCGCCTTGTACTTGACATCTTGATGTCTGAGTAGGACACAGCTGTGCCCCGCTCCTGCCATCCGCATTTCCCGGCACGGAGCCTCATCCTGCAGCTGCCCAGGGGAGAAGCTGGGAGTCAGCCCTGCCCCTGGCCACCCCCACCCGGCTTAGTTATCCCAAGAGCCCCCTGGCTGGGCTGCCTGCCCCCGCCCGGGCTCCTCCCCAGCTAGACACCTACCCAGAGCAGAGGACCAGTGCCCTGCCCTCCACCTCCCGTTCTCCTGGCCCTCGTTCCTGCCAGGCATCCTTGCCGGTCCCCCAGGGCACCAGACTCCTGCCCCGTGGGCCTGGAAGTGCTTGTCCCCTGTGGCTGGCCTCACTCTGCTCACATGTGCCCTGCCTTTTCCCATTTCCTCGTCACCACCTGCTGTGGGTGCTCCCCGACTTGCTAAGGGGTGGCCTCCTTCGCTGAAAACAGACGGACACCACTGAATGCAGGCCACTCCCGCACCGCGGCAGAGGAAACTCCGCAGTCGGGCCATGGTGAGCCGGAGCCCACCGGGACCCAGGGTGCGCCTCCTGTGTCAGCGCTCTCTCCTCCTCCCATTAAAATTTGCGCAGGGCCTCCGTGTTTGGTGTGCGCTGGTCCCAGTCTCTGGGACACACCCAGGGTGCAGCAGCTGCTCAGGAGGTGAAGTGACAGTACTTCCCAAAGGGGGCTTCAGTGTCTCCCCCAGGACGCTGAAGCTCCTTAGGCTGCCTCTTCCCTCGGGTCGGGGGGCAGGGGTCAGAGGTCACGTCTCCTGTCACTGTGGGAGTGGGGTGGAGTGAGTGTCGGGATTTAGTCAACATTGAAATAAATAGCTCACACTCACAGCGAATGTACACTAAAACCCTGAAGTAGCATCGCGGACAAGAACCCCGAGTTTCCTGCAGCCGAGATGTCGTGGGCCCTGGTGGCACCCTGGGTCTCAGGTCAGGATGTGCAGAGCTGGCGCGG